TGAAAGAAAAATAATTGTGTAACAAAAACAGTAACTAATTCAATGATTTAGATTGTATTGATAGCTTGCGACATTTATGATATTCTATTTATTATCTTATAAACACATTATACTTTAATCACACACATATATATAAGGTAGGATATATTCTTTGACAGTGGTGTCAAATTTGAAGTTTGATACCTCATCTGAGAACCGTTAGATCAAAAAGATCAACCACTTTGATTTATAAGCATGTGATATATATATATATATATATATATATATATATATATATATAATATGATCTGAAATATTAAAATAATTATTTATTGTTAATTTTATATTAAATTTATTTTTAATATTATCTTTAAGATTAAATAATGAAATGAAAATTTTATATTGAATAATGATTTTAATATATTTAAAATTAAAAAAAGTAATTTAAAAATAGTTGTTAGTTTTAAGGAGACCAAAAGGACGCTTCGGGAAACAAACTAGAAAATATGTTACCTTAGGCTACTAATCAACTTATGCTGCTTTGGTCCTCTAATTTGCCACCGCCATTGATAACAAGTTCTTCTAGTACATACGTATTTTGCTTTCGAAAGCCATCTAATACAAGCTGTTTTTTTTTTTCCTGCTGATTTCTAAGAAGGTCTTTCTCATACTTTTCCCCGCCAAAGTTTAACTTTCTGTCTTATCATTATATTACACTTCATTACTTGCATCATCCGCCAATACTACTACAGTATTACTTAGTGCATTTGCTTCCAACTATTCACGGTAAATTCTTGAAAAACTAAATTAGATAAAAAAAAATTCGGTAATCTAATTAGATAATGTTACTAGAAAATATTTTAGTTCAATGCTCATATATTTTTAAACATATATATATATATGTATATACATAAATTAAAGAAAAATATTTAGGAAAAAAATAAATTATTAAAAAATGCGCACAATTAATTTAACCTAAAAGTATGTATTAAAAATAATATTTCACATTAGGAGGAAATTTGCACAATTAATTCAAAAAAATTAATTTAAAATTTAAAATAATATTAAAAAGATTTAGTCCCCTTCGAAAGAGTATACCTTAATATAATATACAAAGGTTAATTCATAGAAAACACTGTCCCTAATCTGTTATGTTTTTCTTTTTCTAAACAAATTTCTGTATATATTTATAGGCTCTTATTCTTTTCATGTTATACGAGAGAGAGAAATTATCTCATTAATATACAAAATGCAGGCAAAAAAATTGATATATTATTTTTTAAATAAAAAATTACGAATTTATGATAATTTTAAAAATAATTACATATTTATTGCACAATATCACGCCTAATTTGGACGTCACTAATCACGCTCAAATTGGACGCCACTCAAGAGACAATCACGCCTAATTTAGGCGTCACTCACCAGGTATTGACACGTGTCACATTTTTTTCTAAAAAAAAATTAACAATTTAATCGTAAAACTTTTGAAGGCTATAACTTTTGACTCGGGTATCCAAATCAGGTAATTCTTTTTTTGATTCCACATAAATTTTCATCTCATTTGATATATTTTATTTCTCACAAACACAATTTAAATTTGCAAGAATTGTATTTTAAGAGCGGTTAAACCCAGAAGCCTATGAGTTCTGAGTTTGTGATTTAATATAAAAAAATAAATAAAGATTTGATTTGTGATTTAAATTAAAAATAATAATTTTTTTTATTATAAAAAAAATTTGGTTTGTGAACTAAAATAAAAATAAAAATTATTATTAATAAGGAAAACAAAATAAAGATTTGATTTGTGATTTAAACTCAAAAATCAATTAGAAAAATCTGTATTAATAAAGAAAATAATTAAATAAATATTCTAAATCTCTTAGGAAGAAGGATTTATTTTTTTTGAAATTAATGATTAATGCTATAAGATTCTGGTTTATTATTCGTGGTCTGAAATTAACGATGGCTTGTGAATGTTTTTCAAAAATAAAATTCTTCTTCCTTAGAGATTTAGAATATTTATTTAATTATTTCCTTTATTAATACAGATTTTGCAAATTGATTTTTGAGTTTAAATCACAAATCAAATCTTTATTTTGTTTTCCTTATTAATAATAATTTTATTTTTATTTTTAATTTAAATCACAAACCAAATCTTTATTTATTCTTTATATTAAATCACAAACCCAGAACTTAGAGGCTTCTGGGTTTAACCGCTCTTATAATACCATTCTTGCAAATTTAAATTGTATTTGTGAGAAATAAAATATGTCAAATAAGATGTCATTGCGTAGATCTCGAAAAGTTATGTGGAATCAAAAAAAGAATTACTTTATTTTGATACCCGAGTCAAAAGTTATGGCCTTCAGAAGTTTTACGATTAAATTGTTAATTTTCTTTTTTTGGAAAAAAAATGTGACACGTGTCAACACCTGATGAGTGACGCCTAAATTAAGCGTGATTGCCTCTTTAGTGAGGCCCAGTTTAGGCGTGATTGGTGACGCCTAAATTGAACGTGATATTGTGCAATGAATGTGTAATTATTTTCAAAACATTCATAAATTCATAATTTTTTATTTAAAAAACATTAAATTAATTTTTTTGCCAAAAAATGCAATATGGATCTCACTTTATATTTTTATTTCCTCTCTGTTTAGTGGGATCCGCATTACACTTTGTGTGTGCATGAGATGGTTTCTTTCTTACATAACATGAGAAAAATAATACACATATTTATATAAGAAATTCTATTTCAAATTTTAGTGAATAACTTTCTTTGATTTTAGGGAAAACTTCAAAAAAACCCCAAAAGTTTAGTTAGAATCACTTACTCCTACCCAAATTTTTTTGATCATTTACACCCCTACTTAAAACTTTTTTATCACTTACCTCTCTAACTTGATTTTCCTTCCAAAGTTAAAGTTAACAGAGTTAATCTTTAAAAAAAACAAAAAACAAAACTACCCTTAAAAAAAAGGAATTAACCCTTCGACACTATATGTTTCAGCCTCACTATAATTTTTTTCAGCCCCACTATATGTTTCACCTTTCGTTATTCAGAGAAGAACCAATTTTCAATGCTTCCATATATTAATTAAAGGACCAAAGGTGTAAATATTTTCAGCAAGTAAAAAAAATGGACGGCAAAAAAATCAATTAAAGGACCAATTTCTTTAACTTTTATCCATAAGATAACATGTCTGTACAGCAAAAAAAATGGGTTTCCAAAAAATCTGGAAAAACAACAAGAAGCTTAAAAAAAAAATCTCCTTTCAAGCATAAAAAAAAAAAACTGGACAACACTCGTTGAGTATCATTTGAATTGTTGATTGGGGTCGGTTATTGTCTTTATATATATATATTTATATATATTCAAGAACTCGCTGATTGAAGAATTCACAAATTCTCGCAAATGGCAGACCTCACTGAGTGAAGAATTCAGAATTCGCAAATTCTCGCAAATGGCAGAACTCGCTGATTGAAGAATTCACAAATGGTATAGAATCATAGAATTCGCAAGTGGTATAGAATCATATATATAGAGATAATACAAATCACTCAAATACATTCGAATAGAATAGAGATTTACCGGTCCAAATCTTTGAGTGTTGTGTGTTTCTTTCAGAACCCGAATTATATAAGCATCTACTGGCTAATCAGAAGCAGGGGTGGTGAAGCGTCAGAACGATTAGGGTTCAATGCTCAATGACTATCTCTTGCCATCAGTAAGGTCGAGTTCTGTGTGTTTTTTTTAAGGGTAGTTTTGGTATTTTTTTTAAAAACTAACTCTGTTAACTTTAACTTTGAATGAAAAATCAAGTTAGGGAGTAAGTGATAAAAAAGTTTTAAGTAGAAGTGTAAATTATTAAATTTTTTGAGGAAGTGGATAAGTGATTCTGACTAAACTTTCAGGGGGATTTTTGAAATTTTTCCTGGATCTTAAGAATGCTTTGGCAACCATTGAAGTTGTTGCCCGCGACCCATTCAAGTTTCCTTCCATTGATACCTGTTATTGCTGGAGCTTAGTATTGGACAACTTTTTTTTTTGGGTAAACATTAGACAACCTTTTAACTTTATTTGATTATAACAGTTTATCCATTTAAAATATCTATAAATCAAAAATAGTTATTTTAGTGAAAATAAAATAAAATAAAATGAAAGAAACTTCAAAATAATCCAAAAGAAATTTAAATGATTTGTATGAGATCATAAGTTCAAATTCAGTACCACTATTATATTAAAAACAAGGGAAAAATAGTATCCTTTTAAAGGATATAAGTTTATATCCTTTTAGATCCTAACCGTTGATTTCCGTCCATCAACGGTTATTTATTGGGCCAAACTTAATGGGACAAATTTATTATTAATTCATTAATAATTTTAATCCAATAAATTATAATCGTTAATGGACGAAAATCAACGGTTAAGATCTAAAATGATATAAGTTTATATCTTTTAAAAGGATAGATGTTATTCTCTAAAAACAAAATCTAAAATTGGGTAAATAAATATATATTTAGAAATTATCTTACTCTTTGTTTTACATAATGTATAATCAAAATTTCATTTAATTTTTTAAACAAGTAATGTCTTTTGATAAATTAATCCAAACCAGACATTTATGTAATTTGTATAACTTATCTTTCATAACTTATTTTTTAAGAAGGAAATTATATTTATAACCTATTTTTCCTTCTAATCTCTTGTTGTCACTTACTTTATTATTAAATCGAAATCAAATCAATAGCTTTTGTTTGATGTTAGTTTATATCGTTGATTTGATTTCAATACACTGATAAAAAAAAGCGATTGGAAAAGACTGAAAGAGAAAATTAATCGTAAGTATAACTTCTTCCATTTTAATCTACATTTTTTTAAAAGAAAAAAATTGGATGCATACATTGCGTCTAGATTATCTCGAGTGTCCATGGAAGTAATTGATTTCCAGTTTGCCAAGCACTACATAAAAAATCTCAAGGTCGAAATTGTAAGAGAAGCATAACAAAATCATCCGGGGCTTTATCAATTTTACTTTACAAAAGCACAAACTTTACAACTTTCAAGGGAACTGGACACAAAGTAGAAATGCCAAAATCTTAAAGTAGCATGTCTAGAAATTAGCAAGCGCTTCATAAAATAGTTTGCATGTCGTTGGTGTTCACAAGAAATATGTGAACAGAGTAGAAATGACAAAATAAAATTCTATTTTGGAAATTACAATCAGGGATCTGTAAATCACGATGAAGGATTGGGATAGACTTTGGGTTTCGGCTTGACCTCTATCTCGTTCACACTACGAACGTAGATAGCATCTTGCTCATGGCTGCAAAAGAATGGACAACCGGTTGAAACTAGTAAGTGAGAGAGAGAGAGAGAGAGAGAGAAGAGGGAGAACTTACGGTTTAGGCCCCTCTTCAAATGTGTAACTTGATGCAACAGCCAAGAGGCGTCCATCTCTGCTAAATGAAAGTGCAGCAACGCTTGTTGGATATTTTGAATACTGGATGAAGAAATGGCAATTTAGCAAAATTGAAAATGCAATGCAAAAGGAAAATCTGGCTTCTCAAATTACTCAAGGCAAAAGGGGAAAAACCTGGTACAGCCGCTTCTTGTTGTTTCCATCCCATACATTAACATAACCGTCACAGCCTCCTGTGGCAAATGTACCATATCTACAGGATTGTTCATAAAACATTTTGTTAATCACTTACATCAATGTATGAGTCGGTAATCCTAGCATGTTCAAACCATCCAATTTCAGATTCCATTTAGGGGTTAATATCACCAATTTCATCTTTGGTGCCTTGCATCATACAATGGTACTGCTACGGTAAAACCTAGAGAAACAATTAAGCAAGCATTTTCAAAATGCTACTCATTTCAAACTCATCACATGCCAAGAACATCCATAATACCTCCAAGTCAGTTTCTGACACAGATTTTTGGAGTACTGAGTTTCACTACTTATCATGATCCAGCGTTCAGTTCTGATACAACCAGTCTTTCCCAGCATATTTGCAAGCATTTAATTTCCCAAACCCCAGCCATTCCAATCAATATTATGTATGAAACGAACTGTCACACTGTCAGTTTTGCAAATAAGAAAATACTACTTTTGGTAGAATATAAAGAGATTCTCTCTTCCTGACTCAATCCATTATGGTAACTCTCAGTTGGTAATCATTCTTTGGATCCAGAGAAAATAAATAGAGTATTCAGAGGTTGATTTCATGGCTTACCTTAACCACAACTGTTATAACTCTGAGCTTCATTATTAAATAAGGAGATGATAAAATTCAGTAGACAAAGAACTCAAAAACACTTACATGGGGTGGAATGCCATGGCATTTACAGGATAGACAATGTCCCTTCCAGCTTCAGATTTCCTGTGACACTTAAAAGCATACCTGCACATAGTTTAGAAAGTCGTAGATGTATTATACATGACAGGCATGAGGTGCAAAATATTCAATTCACGGTGGTAGAAATGGCAAGCATAGAGATAAAAATCCATACTTCTTTGCTTGGGTGGTCTCGGAGAGGTCAAAGAATTCCATTGCAACCCGACCTTCAACAGAACTAAGTGCATATCCTGCAAAAATATGCAGTATATCAAGGCTGAGATACACAACAAAAATCACGGTCATCTCTGGAATCTATTATGCTACATAAAACAATGTAAATTAATAATGATCATGAATTTACACATTATTATAGTTTCCTCTTTCAATCAATTTCTAGTGCTCATAAACAATATTTACAGCACATAACATAAGCAAACTTAGACCAGCAATTGACAAAGATTGCTAACAGTCTTTGTGAATAAAAAAACAAAGTGCAGAGCTCAAGTTTCACAAATTATTCCACAATGCACATACACTAAAGTTTACCTGTTCCATTTGGGTAACAGCGCACACATCTGGTTTGATATTTCAAAGAAGATTCCCTTCGTTGCTCCGGTTGAGACATGTTCCTCAAATCATAAATATTAACATGTCTTCCAGCTGTTGCTACAACTAGCCGATGTCCAACAAGAGATAGAGAGTAGACACGCTCAGGTTGTGGATATGTCCCAACAAGGGTACGCTCTTGCCCGCTTGCACCTCTAGGGTCCCAACATTTTAGAGTTTTGTCCCAACTTCCAGTGATCAATTGCCCTTAATGATGGATAAGACAAAATTAGCCTATTGTCAATTTTCCAGTAAATAAGAGAACATGATTGTATTCAAGATGAAGATCTTGTCATTGTCAGATACAGTTTAAGAATGATAATTCCACTGAAAGGGGATAGAATTATATGATTGCAATTAATGCTAAGAAATAGCGATAAGAAACATATGCAACCTAACATGTTATCATTGTTTGTTTTAAATTTCAATAATGGTCTTCATTCTTCGCGGCACATTTCAGGAGAAGCTATGCATCATAGACTGCACCTAGTCCATCTATATCCGTTATTATACATTCCAAATTTCCAATGAGCATCTCCCAGCAGTTCCTCGAGAAGATATCCTGATTCACCAATAACCGTTCTAACCAAGTTTTCATGATCAATATCATCAGTTGCCTTTACAACTTTGTGACATAATGACACAGTTAGTTTGGTTGGCAAGAAAAATGGAAGAGTGAATTAAGGTTCCCAAGAATGAAAGATAGCAATACTAATCAGGTTACTAGCAGTGAAAAAAAGATTATATACATTTCGTTAGCCACAAAAAGGTTTTTTATTTATCCCTTGTCTTTGCAAGTTAATATATACCTTTGTAACAGAAATAATACAGGAACGTAGTAAAAAAAACACAAGCCAGACAACAAAATACATAAAAAGGTAAGGCATCCCAAACTGCACTGATTTTCAGTAACTTAAAAGCTAAAACCATTATGTGATAGAATGGGACAATATGTCTTGTCCAGTAAAACTAATACAAAACATATGTTCTCCCACACTTTCGCATGTGCAAAGTGCTAACATCTCTTATTCGGATATGTTTTTATGCATACACCAGTGTGTCGAATGTGGTCCATCAAAGTATTGCAAAGAAATACCGAGTCCCCGACGCTACCATGGACATCTATTGTAACTAACTGCAAGGAAAAAGTGAATAACCAACATTTCTTCTGAAATTGCTAAAGTTTGTATCGATTTTAAAGTATTTTATTTTTTATTTTTGGAATTAAGTTGCATACTAAAAAGATGAAATTAAGACGCTAAGCAGATTGTGATGGGTAGAGTTAACAGACCTGCTGCATAGGAGTACTCGACACAACGAACAGGTGCATCATGCCTTCCCAAAATATCCTCCTTGTTAGAGCTGAAAACGAGCCTGTACAGTAAAAAATGATAGTTAAAAAGAAAAAGAATTTCAATCGATTAAATAACCAGACCACAAGCCGGATCTGCACGAAAATATGATGATTCCTGAACTAAATTAACTTTATGCAGCGAGTTTCATGAAAATAAAAATAAAAATGTGTGAAAGTGTAGTGACTGACCGCCTGACAGTGTTATCGGCGGCGGCACTGAATCCGGAAGAATCGTCATGGAAGCAACAGTCAAGGACGGGTCCACCATGCATGAACTCTCCTCTGAGGACATTTGCGCTCGCATCGTACAATCGCACGCTCTGCTCCGTCATTGAAGATTGAAGGTAAGGTTAGAGTGCAAGACACAAGAGAGAGATAGTGAGAAATGTGGTGAGTGATGAAGAGCATACCTTGTCCCAAGAAGAGACGAGAAGGTGATCGCTGTGGTTGGAGAAGCGAAGGTTGGAGATGCCATCGGACGGAGGGTTAGAGAGCTCTCGGCCGGGCGCCGGCGGTGGTAGCACTGATGTCATGTCTCGTAGGGTTTTGGTTTCTATAAGAGAAGGAGGGAACTTCGTTTCAAAAAATTTGGCAACCGAGAGAGAGAGAGAGATCCGTTAATTTTATCTTTTCTTGTTCGGATATTCAATTCAAATTCACACTTGATGCTTTCCCTCCGGTGAAGACAGAGGGTCCGGGAAGGGAAATCACTGTAATTTGCACCGGCACTGTCCTTTTCTGCAGGCCCAAATCACTTGGCCCAAAGTTTGGTCTTATCTACATGTCTCAAACCCGGCCCGTTTAGCTGTTTTCCATTTTCTGTTCTAATTAATTTTGTTTCCTCCTCCCTCCGAACTTAAAAAATAAAAATGGAAGACAAAAAACTGAATGAAAAATGAAACGGATTGGGACAGGAGTGAGCTGAGATGAAATTGTAATGTGATTAATTTACAGTGATAGGAATAGGATGGTGCTCTTCCTCTTCGCTTCAAAATTCATTTCAAATCTCTGAAGTGCTTTTGATAATTCAATTCAATGCGATGGTGGTCTGCAAATGCCGCAAGGTTTCCTTCTCTTTCTCTTCGCTTTTTATATCCAAAGCCCAAATCATGCTTGATTTGTCTGCGGGTCATGTAGATCATAGATTCAGATCAGTCATGGCATGGTGGGATGATCTACCAGCTTCTGCATTTCTTTATATTTTTCTTCAAATTCATTGCATACAAGTGGTTATTAGTATAGGGATGTCGTTCGGTGTGAATTTCGTTCCTAATGGAACCAACTAATGCTATGTGGTGATTAGGCTACTAAGTTATACTGCTTCGTCCACAAAGTTCCCGTCTGCGGAGAATGTATCTGCTTCCCCGATCACCAAATCTGCGTGGTAAATTTTTCTCTCCTCGTTTGACTTATCAAAGGAACCATACGGTTTTTGGTTGACGTGCCAAGCTCTTATCGTTTCTGCACTTAACGATTTCTTCTTCTTCTTCCGTAGATTGGGACTTATTCAGAATGGGTTATAGATGGGGACTATGATTGGCCCCCTAAATGCTGTCAATGCCAAGCTGTTCTAGAAGAGGGGACTGTATCTCAAACTACTAGACTCGGTTGCTTGCGTATGTGATTTTACTCTCACGATGTATATGCCTCCTTTGAAACAAATTCCCTTCAATTAAAACTGACTTATGTAATATCAATTTAAATTTTGTACACAGATGTTATCCACACAAATTGCTTGGTCTCGCATATCAAGAGCTGTCCTCCGCATACTGCCCCGTCTGGATACATCTGTCCCTCATGTTCCACTTCGGTATGATATTGCCTTCAAATAATTTCTTGCCTCTTCAGTTAGTAAGCTTTTTGGTTGAAAGTAGTGTATTAATGTACAACTATGTATTTTTAACTTGAAAAGTAGTTATTAGTTCAAAGTAAGATTTTAAACTGCAAGGCTGCCGCCTGTTTTTGGAATAACCCTTCAAGGAGGCTAAAATTATATGGAAGAGTGCAATCTTTGGCTCTTTGCTGTTTTTTTGGTACGTTTGGTTGGAGCACAATACTTTTCCCCTAAAACTGTTCTGGGACAGGGTTATCTTCTTAACTTTCTCTGTAGTGCTCAGCCCGTGGTTGTTTCAAAGGGGTCACCAAATTTGATTTCCAAAGGGATTGGGCTGCTCTACTACATACCTAGTTTTCTCAGTTTTGTTTTATTTTTTGTCTCAGCTCTTGAGGATAACTTATCCTCAGTGTAGTCTCCTTCTCTTCTTTTTAATGATGATTCTCTTAACGAAAATTAAAAAGAAGCAAAATGTTATTTTCTTTTTCTGTTTTTCTGTCTTTTCTTTTTTTCATAATTATTGAGAAGTAGATAAAACCACTGAAAGGAGATTGTTTGTCTCAACAAAGATTGTCATGTCTTGTACTTATAGGTTTCTCAACTGAAAGTTAGTGTTGATTTTTGTCTATGCTCATACTTCAAAGTATGGCTCATGGTGTTTTAGGTGTCTTGAGCAATGTATATAAACAGGGAAAAAGTAGCGACATCAGAAATGCTTTGTTCTTATCCTTATTTTAAAAAGTATTTATTTCATTTTTTAGTCTAAATTTCTTAATTATTGAAATGTAGATAGAAACTCCTGCAAGAAGATTCTTAGTGCTTCCTTCAAACCATTACTTAATGTTTTGTCTTAGGAACATTGTCATGCAAGTAATTGCTCGGTCAAATAAAAGTGCAGTGTGTTTCAAAAATTGATACTCTATTAGCTGCATACATGTGAGTTGTTTTATTTATATTATAATCATGCCATCACCTTTTAGAGCTTCCTTTAGCTACTTTTATATAAAAATTCCCCTTGTATTGGGTGTCTAATTTTGGCCAAATAACGCATGCAGATATGGCCTCCCAAAAGCGTGAAAGATTCAGGGTCTCGTCTTCATTCCAAGTTGAAGGAAGCTATCGTGCAGGTAATGTATAAAATGAGTAGTCTTTGGTGGAGTCACTTCTTTAACATTTTATCTGAATATACTTGAGTGGCTTTCTTGACATACATAAACTAGAACAGCCTTGTAGTTATAAATCAAGTTTTCTATTGCCATTGTATTTTTTTACTTTATTTTGATTATGGAATATGGGTTAGAAATGAGTTTGGACTTTGGGGTTTTTATTGTTGGAGCATTTAACATTAGAGAATCAATAGCCAGAAATCAACAGCAACGGTAGCATAGTGGGTTTTGGGTTGGACAAACGTGACATATTTTAAACATGGACACTTGAAAAACAAAGCTGTAAGTGTCAAGGTCCAAGTTATCTTGAGTTAGTGTCAGTGTTCATACTTCTTAGGTTGGGACTCACAGTAAGGAGTATGAATTATGAAATATATCATTTGGAATGCCATTGCCAAATTTATTCAGTGTCACGAATAATTGAAACAATTAAAAGAATTTATGTTTCTTGGTAATGCCTGGACTATTTATGTACTTGGATACTACTAGTTTCTATTTCATGCCATCTCATTCTTGTTCAAGAATTTCATGGATCACCATTGAAGGTATCTTGTTAAGGGCTATCACATCCCATATGGAATGCGCATTCAAAGCGTCATCGCTTACTTTCTAGTAAATGGAGACTGCTCAGTGTGTGTACTGGGCCACTGATCTATAATTATAATATTAAATTGTGTGCATATTGCTGTAGAAGAGTTTCCCTTTGTTTTAGTTTTTTTGTTAAATAAATGCATGTGTGCCTGTTTATTTTTTGGCAATAAAGAAATGGATATTTTTCAGTCAATATAAATAATATTTTTAATGGTTTTTATCTATTTTTGTGCAGACTGGTATGGAAAAGAATCTCTTTGGAAATCATCCAATTTCTTTGCCAGCGACAGAATCTCGTAGTCCCCCACCTGCTTTTGCTTCAGATTCTTTTAGGGAAAGTCTAATAAACTCAGACTCAGTAGAAGGATACTCACATGCAACTGGATCAGAGCCTTCTAAAATTTCAGTGACTGATATTGTGGAGATAGATAGCCCTAATTCTGCAGGAAATTTCATGAAAGGCTCAAGTCCTACTGGTGTAAGAGGATTATACTCCCAGTTACTGCATCTAGAATAAAAGAGTGTTTGGTGGAAATATTGTTTTTGCATTTATCTGTACTTTTAATAAGTAGGTCTTAATTTTTCTGTTTTATATTCATGGTCTATCATCTTTCACACATTCAGTATTTTATCTCAGTTTATTTTGTTCTTATTTCAAATAATTCAGCCTGTTGCTACCACAAGGAAGGGTTCACTCCATGTTGACAGACAAAATTCTGAAGTCTCATATTATGCTGATGGTGAAGATGGGAATCGTAAGAAGTATACAAGAAGAGGTGATAATCTTTTTTGATGAATTTTTAGATTTTAAAATATTTTTTACTATTTGTCCAACATGCTTATAAACTGTATTTCTGGGCTTCATCTTTTGATGTGATTAGAAACTATTTACCTTCTAGTTTGACAGGATTTCGTTCAGAAGCTTGTCTAGTTCAATTTATTAATTCAAACATCACCTTTGAAAGTATAGGTCCATTCCGCTATAAGTTTCTTAGAGCATTACTTCCTTTCTGGTCTAGTGCTTTACCTACTCTTCCAACGACCACACCACCAAGAAAGGATGCATCCAATACAATCGAATCCTCAGAAGGTCGCACGCGACATCAAAGATCATCAAGGATGGACCCAAGGAAAATTCTTCTCCTGATTGCAATAATGTATATCTCTTGCTTCTCTTCCTTTATAATGTATATTACAACCAAAATAGGAAATGCAGGAGGGATCTGAATTTTTTGCAATGGAAGTTACTTCTGAGTTCTGACTCTCATTGGCAATGACTAATGAGAAATAATATTTAGGGAAAGTGGAGAAAGCCGTGGTTAAGTCAGATATCCCGGGGTTAAAGCAAGCTTTTTGTTAGTTAATACTTATACCTCATAGTCCAAGATTTATTTGTTGACCAATCTCTCCTTGCTCTCAGAAGAGAGAAAGTTATCATAGCACAGATACTGAGGCTCTATTTTCACTGTTATATATATAAACCCCAGTTATATGGAATTTAAGATTTGGTATAGATTTCTTGTCTTTAGTTGATGAAGTTAATATCTTCATATGCAGGGCATGCATGGCAACTATGGGTATATTGTATTACAGACTAGTTCAACGGGGTCCAGGTGAAGAGCTTCTTAATGATGAGTAAAGGCAAGGTGCGGTGCTCTGAAAGGAGAAGATGTTCCGTGGCTCTCATTTTCTATATTTCGGTTAACCTGGTGCTTCAGCTGCTAATCTTCTTGGCTCCTATATTCGAACCAGTTGCTGTTTTTGGTAAACATTCAAGTGGCTGGTAGATATTTTTCATTTGAATGCATATGACAGTGATATGTTACATAAAATCCTTGTTAGCTATCTTTGTTCTTTGCCCCCAATTTTGGTGCCCATTTGGAATGTAATTGCATAATCAGGTTTAATATATATTGTTTTCGTAATTGGTGTACTTTGCAATTATCTAGAATCCTTAAACCTTAAAGACCAATTTGCGCCAACCACTTCTACTATAATTTCCACATTATTAGCTGGCCACATTTATCTATAATTGCCTTATTCAAAACAAGGTCATGGAAGTTAGATGCATCAATGCCATCTTTGATAGAGGGGAAACGAGGAGGTATGTATCGTTTTCACTTTATTCTTCGTCTCGCTGCCCCTCCGATGTCCGTATATTTAGACGGCCTTTAATCCGTTTCCCTTTTTTCTCTATTACTTAAGTTTTTAGATGTCCTTTTTACTCGTGGTTTTCTCATATCTTCACATCTAATCCATGGTGGTCATGGAAATTTTGTTTTATATATATATATATATATATTTTTTGGTCCTTCTCATATCCCCCCGAATTTTTTTGGGTCCTTCACATCCAATCCACAATCCTAGCCTTTTGCATAGTCTCGTACCTCGCCATGGTTTAGAGTGACTAATACTCGGTTCATGGAATTAGGAGAATCCAAAAAGCAAACTACTGTTCTCTCTCTTCAAAAGTTGTGCTTTCTTTAATTTTTTATTTACTTGAATTAAAACATTATGAAAATTGTATTTATGTTTTGATTTTCATACTTCATTATTTATGTTTTTATGTGATATATCCTCTCAATATACCGTAATTTTAGAAATTTGTCGTATCCCCGCATGTGTAGCCGTATCAATACCAGTACTTATCCATATGCATGCATCCCACCTCTAAAAACTGTAGAATGATTGCAGTGTAAACTTCTGTTTCCTTGGGTCTTTTGTTTGACCCTTTCTTATCAGCAAAAACACATGATACTAAACTAAAATTGGCATACTATTAGCTTAAAATGCTTTTGATCTAAGCACTGATGTTATACTTTAGTTTTGTATGTATTACCTTCTATTATTTGTTGAACACATAAAAAAAAAATCCAAAGTCAAAATTACAATACTAAGTACTGCAGAGCTTTGATAAACTAACAAAATTCCAAGGCATTGACACTGGACAAAGCATACACTAAATCGTATTAATTAACCATGACATCCAAATGCCTTAAGAAATTCCCTACAGAAGATGACAAGTCCCATTGTGATACGTAGTCTACAATATAGAAGAAAATAAAAGGAGAAAAGGAGTTCATCAAACTCAAGTCGACATTTAAGCTGGATTTTTTTCTCTTTCGTCTTATATGTTTTAAGGGAGTTGAAAAATTGAAATCATCCAATAGTATATATTTTAAATGGTTGACAAATCAAAAGTCAATCGTTTCAAATGAGAGAGAGAGAGAGAGAGAGAGAAGAGCTCTGCTGTGGCAAGCTATTGAAGTGAAATTTGTTCTAGAATCAAGGATAATATAAGTGCTTCCTTCATTGACTTGCATGGCCTTCAGTTAGGAGAAGGTTTTCAGTAGGCTGTGTCAGTTCGTTCTTCTTTGGTACTGGTAGGATCATACCAAAGGGTTTTTTATAATTTATATTGTAAATGATTGACAAATCAAAAGTCAATAGGTTGCTGTGGCAAGCTATTGAAGTCAAATTCATGCTAGAATCATAGTTAATATAAGTGCTTATTCCTTCATTGACTTGCATGGCCTTTAGTTAGAAGAAGGTTTTCATTAGGCTGTATGGTACTGGTAGGATCAAACCAAAGGGTTTCTGAACTTCATCAAACTAGAGCCGTGTTTATAATTGATTTATCATCCAATATCGTACTATTTCTTGTGCAATTATGGAATGTTTCTACAAATTGCTATCGAATGAAATTAATATTGTTTAATTATAATTGTGTCCTCAAACTTCAATGTTGCGTCTCTACTTTTCAAATTGTCATAATGTTAATCCATTCAATAACCATTTGTTCATGGTCTGTTTGGTGTGATGTATAAGACTTGATAGTATAAGCTTATACTATACGTTATGACATTTTCAGTTGTTTGGTGTGACCATCGTATAGTATAAGCTTATACAGCAGAACTCCTTAATACATCAAAATGATGTATAACTTAATCAAGCCTAAAGGGGTGGGATTAGACCTGATAAAGGATTGATGTATTAATATTGCTTACAAGCACAATTTCCAAGAACTAATATATCATTCCAATATTAATATATTAAAACAAACTTTTTTAATATATTAATTTTTAAAATATTAAGGAATATTATCTTATACAATATCATACCAAACGCATGATAATATTAAAATTTAATCAGGTCTTATACTATCAAGTCTTATTTTATACAATAAACCAAAAATGCCCTCACTCACAAGAGGAAGTTGTTGAATTAGCAACACTGTATCATAACGTGGCAAGCAACAGAGGTGGGTAGGAAGTTTAAAGTGTTTTTGGGTTGTGGCTCCCAATATGGATGTCATTGTACAGAAAGCGTTCCTTACTAGCAGAGGAACGTCCTTTATCTGCTACCTCGGATTATTGACGTGAATATCTGCATTCATCAAGTAATCTTGTGTAGTTCTATTACAGTGGTTAATTGAGTAGAAGTATGCCCATGGTCGTTTAACATATGGTTTTAAGTTAAATTCTTTTATATTTCTTTTAAGTTAAAATATATTTTTAATCTGTATACGTAATATTCATTTTTAATTTGATTCATATACTAAAAAGTTTTCAATTTAGTCTTTATATTTACAATTATATTTAATGTTGTCTCCTTATCTATTATATTATAGCACCGTAACATTAATATGAAATTGCTGTGAAGTACAGGGGTGGTTAAATTAAAAATGACTGACGTATATAGGAATCAAAATTATTTCTTGTCCTTTTATATATATAATACTCATTTTAAATTTAATCCCTAACTTCATTATGTAATTACTCCAATAGACAATATTTTAGTAGCATTAAACTGACGATGAGTAAATTAAAAATAATTATGTGTAGAGAGATTAAATTAAAAAAAAAAAAAAAGAGAGTACAAGAAACAAATTAAAAATCAGTGTCGCGAACTAAAAATGTATTTGAACATTCTTTTAAGGGAAAATACATTCTTTTAAGGGAATTATTTTTTTTATGTTGAAGAAAAAATAAAATCCATTCTTACATTAAGAAAAAGCTTATGGGTCCCATTAGCTAAAATAATAATAATAATAATAAGGAAGCATGGCAATCGAAGTTGCAACAGGAAGGGTTTGCACAATAGAATAATGAATTGTTTGTCAAACTTTTCGGCCAGATAACTAAAGGCAATAAATTTGATTTCAAAATGTTAATATAATTTATTTAAAAATTAACTAAAAAAGGATAAACAGTAAAATAATCACATCATCACTTTTTCTAAATTATTAACTTTTGGATAATCAAACAAAATCTAACAGCTAAGCACTCCACTTTTTTAAAAATTATTAAATAAAAAATTAAGTATTGTACCAAAGTTTAATTTAAATTAGTAACATTTTATAATAAACGTTCTTGATTTATGTTAATAATTTCATTCGATTAAATATCTAATTGTCTAAAGATTTTCTTTAAGCAGTTTTTGTTTATTTATATGCCCTTTTTAGGACCACTGGTCTGCTTGTTAGTGGCTAGCCAATACCGCAATAATTATTTGCATCCCCAGGGATTCTAGATCCTTATTAAATGCAGGAGAACCACTAGTGCACCTAATTTTAAATGTCTATCAAGAAATAATTAGAACATGCATTAACAAGTAAACGAAACCCAGTCTTATTAACACATTATTGTTGATATGATGCTAGCTAGCTTAATCCATTTTAAAGTATATGTCATTTATAGTATATTTACAATTTGTTTGACTAATGAAATAAAAATGAAGCCAAGTGTTACAATCTTATTGTAAGGTATGAGATTTAGAGTCCAACATCAAAAATATAAGATTTTGATATGGGGTTTATATAGACTTTGGACTCTCTTCTCTTATAAACTAGCTTTTGGGGTAAAGTTCTTCCAAGATTCATTTTAATTGGTATCAGGGGAACAAATGATAAATAGTTCTCCTTAATTTCTTTTCCTTCTTAATTATAAACTATTTGGGTAAGGCTTCTCTAAAGTAATTAATATGGAAAGTTCACAAGTAATAATGTATTTATCCTAAAATTTGAATGGGTTAAAATTATAATATATTTCAAATTAAATTAAGGGTAAACACACATTTACTTGGGCATTTTAAAGACAAACTTACTCTAAAAAAACATTTTTCCTATTTTCAAACTCTCAAAAGGGAGTTTGTTCGTAATCAAAACTTAGTGTCAAAGCAATTACACAAAAATTAAGAAAGTTGTTAAATAGTCTCAATTACAAGAAAATATAAATATATTTAACGAAATTATCCTTTATTAAAATAGAAAAATATTATCACTTCATTAATATTGCTTTCATTCTACTTAGTAATTTTTTTAGTGAATACTGTTTTGTTATGCAGGGCTTATCATATATATTTCATACAATATCAAATATGTAAGCTGTGAAACTCATGTTAAAAATGTATTAATTTTTAAATAATGTATTTATTCATATTAATTATTAAATAAAATACTTAAAAGATAATGTGATAAATCGTGTCTATTTAAGAATTTCTTTTAAGGGTAAAAATTAACCAAATAGCTGCGGAATAATTCATATGAAGTAACTAAATGGAAAGACCTAGAACAGCCGAAAAATGATATCCAATCAAGTAAAATTAACTGAGTATACGTACATGGCTGGTCGATAGTTTAATACACGATTATTTTTCGATAAAAACGGAAGAAAACACATATTAAAATTTATAAAAACGGTAGGAAACATTATTCATATAATTAAATAGATAGGAAAATGATTCGTTTACAATTTTTTTTTACAAATTTCTATAAATTACACTATATATTCTCAAAAATACATATTATAACCTAATATATATATATATATATATATATATTGGTACATTGCCAGGAAGTATCCCCATTCAACCT